TAAAATAATCACATGAGACCATGTGTAGATCTGCACCGCATACTTTGATCCGCATGTTTCGGTGTTTGAATTCTACCTGCCTTTTATGTACAAAGGTATTTGTCTTACTTTAAATGCCAAAACTGTAGTAGCTTGAATGATACAGAAAATGAATTAGTGCATAAAGTGGTGAAATATTTAGAGTAGTTGAAAAAATTAAAAAGGACTTCATACTTGACATAGATATGAATCAAGTGCCTTTGTTATTCACAGACTGAAAATCTAGTGTTTCAGTATGTGTATAGATTTAAAATTACTCAATAATCAGTGGCGGTTGAATTATTATTATTGTTTCCTTTAATTCCTAGAGGAACATAGGGCTTCAGCCGGGCGTCTCCATTGAGTTCCGTTCTCTGCTAGAGTTTTCACCTGGCTTCATGTCTGCCCACACGCTTTCATCTCCTCTTCACATGACCTCCTCCAAGTCACCCGTGGACGACCAACTGGCTGCTTCCCTTTCAGGTTCCACTCGATCAATGGCCTGTCTAGTGATGCTACTTGGTGGTTTCCTCAGAGTATGGCCAATCCATCTCCATTTCTTTCTGCCTATTTGTTTCACAATCGGTTCCTCGTTGGTTCGCTCCCAGAGATCCCTCCCTGTTGCTGATCTTTTCTGGTCAGCCATCTGATCTTGAGTAGTATTGAGCGAAGACAGATGTTAGTGGGAAGGTCTGTAGTTTGTTTGAGATGCTCTTTATGACGCGCAGTGCAAGTCTCTGATCCGTATAGTAGTACTGACTTCACATTGGAGTTGAAAATCCGGATGTTATTTTTGATGGTGAGTGCTGTTGACCTCCACACAGACTTGAGAGTAGTGAAAGCTTGTCTTGCTTTTCCGATTCTTGCTTTGATATCCTCGTCAGATCCGTTCGCCTGTAGTTGAAACGATGCTTCCGAGGTAGGTAAAAGAGGTTGTTTCTTTCAGGTTCCTCCCATTTATGCTTATCGTTGTCTGTTGTTTTTGTTCTTTTCCAGGGATCTTCATCACCTCTGTTTTCTCTATGTTCACCTGAAGTCCTAGCTTCTCTGGATGCTTCTTCTGCCAACTTGTTGCTTTTCGCGGTTGAAAGTGAAATACAAATTTAGGTTGTGGCAGTATCTGAACCTGTAACCTCTAAATAACCATTCCAGTAATCTATCAGCTGAGCTACAAGACGGTGGTTAGATGAACGCTATATGTATGAGAATTAACAGTGTGATATAAAAAAAACACATTAAAGTGGTGCTCATTTTAATGATACAGGTTTAGTTTGAAACAGGAAATCTTGTGACTTTTTTGCAGGACTAATCTTTTGGTAGTATTAGTTTTATCCGTACTTTTCTTGACTATATAAGCTATCCATCCAGTTCTTCAGGGGGTTAATCAACTAATATATGGATGGTTTTTATCTAATGTGACCGAGAAATCACTTAAGTCATTAGTTCTCTTGTGTATAGTTCAAGTTTAATTATTCTTTCATAAGACATTCGGTAAACAAAATTTATCAGCAACCTGTTAATTTCATAAAGACGCATCAGAATGTAAACTTCAACACTGATGCCTGGTAATAGCTACATACCACTTTTGCTTAACAAAAGTATTATTCGAATAAACTATCTGATTTAAAGTCTATTTTTACGTTTATATATACAACACTTAACCTTCTAAATCCATTATGGATGAAATTTATTTTTATTTTGATAAAGTCTCACATTTATCAAGGTGATATGATTATGATTATGAGCAATAAATTGTGCTCGAAACGTCATCAGTGAATAGTACTGTATAACACTGTGAGACTCTATCAGAATAAAAGTAAATTTTATCCATAATGGATTCATACCCTACCACAGTGCCCAAATTCTATCTTCATAGCTTAACTTTCTAGCCCCACAAACTCATTTCGTCAGAAAGTGCAGATTTTATTATCTTATAAGGAATGTTTGATGTCACACAAAATTGAAGACTTACTAGCGAAAACCAATAAACTGGTCGAAGAAGCAGCAAAGACAGGACTCCAGGTGAACATAAACAAGACGGAGGTTATGAAAATAACCAACCAACAACAACAACAACAACAGCAGCAACATCCAGCGCCAATCACCATCAACGCGAGGGATTTGAAAGAGATTACTTCATTCACTTATCTAGGCAGCATTGTCTCAACTACAGGAGGAACGGATGACGATGTCAAACCGAGAATCGGGAAGGCGAGAAACACATTCATCAACCTAAAACCAATCTGGAAATCTTCGTCACTCAGCCTGCATCAACAACAAAATTCGGATTTTCAATACAAACGTCAAGTCAGTCAGTTCTTCTATACGGATCAGAAACTTGGCGGGTCACTAAAAATATTTCCCACAGCCTGTTGCACACCTTTATCAACAACTGTCTTCGCTGGCTCTATACTCAAGATCAGATGGCCGGAAAGAATCACCAACAAGAAACTATGGGAAGAAACAAAACAAGAACCAATCGCTCAACAAATATGCAGGAGTAAGTGTAGATGGATTGGACACTCGCTGAGGAGGCCGTTGGGTGACATCGCGCGTCAGGCCAGTGCTCGAGTGGAACCCGAAAGGGAAGCGGCGAGTGGTTCGTCGGTGCAAGGGTGACATGGAGGAGATCGTGTGAAGAAGAGTTGAAACAGTATGGACTATCATGGATGCAAGTGAAAAGTACAGCAGAAGACAGAAGCAAGTGAAGACGTGCAGTTGAAGCGCTATGTTCCACTAGGAACCCAAGGGAACAATAATAATAATAAGGAATATAAACATATATATGTATTACTAAAATATTCCGCCACAATATTGGCTGGACGCAACATATGATTGCTACTATTCACTTCTTCTGGAAGGTGAATGAAGTCACATACAGTAGAAAACCAAAGGCCGAAAGTCTTTTCATATTTTAACTCCTCATTCTCAAAATAACGTACGATGAAAACTGCCACTACATAGGTCTTATTATCCAAAGAATTGCCGTCAACCAACTTAAGAGACAATAGGAATTTTGACTGACTTCTGAGAAAGTAGTCTGTGAATACTATACAGACAATTCATTACAATTATTATTTATTGTCAGTGCCGTCAAAGTATGCAATCTTGGTTTCTCATTGATGCAAATGAAGGTCACCAGGCCATTTGGTGCCTCTAGCCTTATATACTGCTATATTCATGTATTATACTAACTTTGTTAGCCTAACGATCAGAAAAAATAGGATGAAATTCGTGGGAATAAATATCCAGAGATATTTCTATGTTCTAAACTTACCGATCTTACTCTTCATGTATGACATTCAAGTCACTGTCAAACTTTTAAATATTGATTAATGCAGTAAATACAAAAGTGGAAAGAATCTGTTGATTTGCATCATATTTTCCTTCACATTTTCTAATTGTACTTTGGGAAAAATATCGCAAAACCGTCGTAATATTTTTCTAGTTTGCAATTTCTACTGACAAGTAATTAAATTTGAAAGCAGCTTTCTCTTAAGAATAGTCGAATGAAAGGAAAATTCATTTATTTTTGTCTTCCTAGTCCTTAATAGTGTACAACTGTCGAACCAAACTCAGTTCGTCACTTCCGATTTGTGTCCCAGTCGATGGTCTGGTACGTGATGTGACTGAATGGTCTCGTCATCGTGTGTCCGACTCAACTCCATTTTCTTGACAATTTTGCTGGTCAGTAGGTTCTTGGCTGGTTCATTCCTTGGGTTCCTTGTTGTTTATTCTATCTCTCCTACCACCGGATCTTCAGTATGGAGAGAAGACAACTATTGCTGCAAATCTGCAGCCTGTGAGAAATGCTTTCGGTGACTAATGAGTCATGTCCTTGAAGCATAAAGAAGCACTAGCCGACTTGAGATTATTGATGAAAATCCAAATCTTGTTTCATTTGCTAAGTGCAGTAGATTTCCACAATGATTTCAGAGTAATGAATATCTGTCTCGTTTTTCCAATCTTGAATGGCTTTTACATCCTCATCCTTACCGCATGGCTGCAGTTGAAATGATGCTGCCAAGAACAGTGAAAGAGGTGACTTCCTTTATATCTCTCTCACTTATCCTGTTCGGTGCTTGTTGTTAATGGTGACTGGGTGCCTTCATCACCTCTATCTTCCCGATGTTAACTAGAAGCTCTGTCTTTGCTGCTTTTTTGCCAGCTTTTTGAATTTTGCCTGTAGATATCCGAGTTTGTGTGTGTGTCAGTCATCCGCGATGTCTACATCTTGTAGTGTTTTCTCATCGGTCCAGTGCATGCTCATCCTATCGCTCTCAGAAGTCTACCACATGATCCAGTCCACCACAGCTAGGAATATAATTAGTGATAGTAGACAGTCTTGCCTTATTCCTGTCTTTACTTCAAGAGATTCGATAAATTTTCCGGTGTGGATCACTTGACATATGGAATTTTCACATAGCTGCTAAATATAGTTGATAAAGGTTTGGGGCACTGTGTGGTGTTGAAGTAGTTCCCGAATCACTTCGCGTTCAATGCCGTTGAAAGCCTTTTCAAAGTGGATGAAGATGAGATAGGGATTTGACTGTAATTCTATTTTCTGTCTGATAATGGTGATGATGATGATACGTAGCATTGCAATTTGATCCGTACATGGTTTGCTTTTAATGATTCTAGTTTGTGTCACAGTTAGGTGAATCCACCAAAGATACAGACCTTTGTTCTAACCGGATAAAATGGTTTTACAGATAAAGCATGAATCCGAGTCATATCACAGCTTAAGTATAAGCAATTCAAATCCATTTCTTTATACATTTTAATGTTGATAAAACATACCATATACTATTCTTTCAGTGCACTGTTTATTTATTTCCGAATGACAACAGGACGTAGGTTTGTAAACTGTTCTGATAACGAAACACGATTCTCAAAAAGCTGCTTTAAAAATTTATTTCTTTATTTTGTTAAATTCACAAATTTTTCTTTTGAAACATTTTTGTTCTACCTTATAGACTAGAATGGCCTTGGAATATGACTGCTGGATCTGCCGAAAATACAATCCATTTGTTGTTATAATTTTATTGACAGAAATTTATATACAATTTTGCAGATATTACTGTAATTATTCAAATTTACATATCACCTTTTTAACTGGTGTCAATGGACAATTAAATCTTTGGGTAGATCGTCAGCTAGTAATACAAATTATTGAATCAATGCCACATAATCAAAATATTCCGGGTAGACTACGTTGTCCAAGAAGATTACCAGAAATTCACAGACATAGTAAGTTATTCTTTGCAAAACTAAAAGCTACTGGTGAATAGAAATCCATTATTCGGACCTGGAAAGTCTGATTACTTTCAACCCAGATATTATCGTCAATTGACATTCAAAATAGGATCATTGAAAACCAAGAAGCACTGGAAGATTGTTCTGTCCAGTTTGAAACTATTCAGCAGTGCACATCAGCGACTTCACAAAGACTTTCAGGTTTTATCCCGGTTTCCCTTCATAACCTGCATACTTTTGTAGTAAAGCATTTAAATTTGTCACTGAATGATGGTAAATTTTCACAAACCAGGAGTAAATTCTGTACCAAAATTACACATATATTTTAGTGTAACTGTCAACAAACAATAAACGGGTCATTATGGCGACTGACTCTTATCGATTTATGCCCGATGTAGTTTATCAGTCGGTCACGACTCACTTTAGTAATTATGTTGCACAGATGGAGCATCAATTAGTTCATACTATCTAGTACTCAGTATGCACAAAAGTATTCACTTTATCAGTGGAAATAAATTAAACGCATGAGTTGTATTACACCTTAAAATAACACACAGTGTTTGTTGTATGTCTGATATTTCGATGATGGATGTGAGAATAAGAATATTTGAAATCTTGATACTTTCAATCAGGACATCCTACTTTTCAAAGTATTTCTCAGAATTTTGTATGTTTCCCGATATACAACACTTTGGAACTTCAATTTTGTATCTGTGTATACGTAAAGTCCTTTATTCCAGTTACTCTTGCTGACCTCATTTGAGGATCAAACAGAATCTCCAGAAAACCTAATCAATCATCACTTAATTGGGCTAATTCTCTGTCTATAAGAAGAAAACTAAGTTTAGTTCAAATTTATGCTTTAGATACCCACAACTGCCAAAAACAAAATCCCTGTTATTATTTATAACTTAAACAGACAAACAATTAAGTAGATTTAGAAACTTGAAGGTCAAAAATGAATAGAATGTTACGTAACAAGACAAACACACAGGCATACTGACAGAAAGGCAAAACAAAAATAAAATAGAGTTAGGGTTACCAAGGTAGTGAAAGATTAAGTTTAAGTTATAAATGTTACTTCACTATTCACCCCCACCCTCTTAAACTCTCCACCACAAGATGTGTAAATTTACTTTGTTCTCTGACCCTGACCCTGTAATATGCCTCTAACCAATCTGTGTTGTTTTCCAATAGAAATCTGAACTCTTACCCCTCTTATCTAATTCCACTATATATAATTAGTTGTTTTTTGACACCGAATAACCTGTCTACCTACATCAAATTCTGGAATTATGTTCCTTATGCCTTCTATCTATAACTCAAAGTATTTATGAAAAAGTATGTTCCACAACTTTCTTGAAACCTATAATTTGATTTTGTTTAGGATGTATGCAGTTGGTGAGAATCCACGAAATAAAACGAGCTCGAATTATCCTGCAAACATGTTCATTCTTTCTCTCTTCAAACTAATAAAGGGAACCGGTTGCATGAAACATCAATTATGTTTGTTGGATTTCCGAACAATATCCTGTGTGGTAAGGGAGAAGCAAAGTTCGTTCATAGTTCTATACTATCTCATCTCGTAGGTGCAGAGCAGAAAATTGATGTAAACTAATCCTAATTTTTACCCGAAGAGTTTGTCTATCACATATTGCTGAGGCTGACTGTTGGAATCTACATTAAGAAGCCTAATCTATGTATCCAGAAAAAATTGGTTTAGATGCTTCCTTTACTTTGGCTATCAAGGTTTAGATGATCCTTTATATTTTGTAGAAATTTCCTAAATTTTATTTGATATTCTATTTACTATTACATCGTTATACTTATTATAACTTGTGCATCTTTCTTGAACTGTATTTCCGTGGATCTTAACAAGTTGACAGTATTTAAAAACACAAATATTGTTAATGACGATTACTCTAGAATATTCTGTTTATATATATATATATATATATATATATAAATGTGGAGCTGGAAGAGAAAATTATCGAAAAGAATATTCTTTGCTCAAATTTTCTTATGTCTACTAAGTGTCTGAATGAGAATTTTCGCTATATAAAAATCTTGTTTCTGCTAAATTTTTAAAAATTCACAATACGTATGTGGCAAACGAATGCCACTAGGTTACTAGGGTTTTAGTCAGGTTTAAAAACATAAATTTCATATTAAATACGTGAAACTCTAATGGGCCATCGCTTTGTTCCCTTTTTTACATAGAAAGAACACTTTGACTCCATAAATAACCCAAGTAGTATAATAATATGCAAGCATTAATCAACTCTTCATTTTTATTTTTACAGTTCCAGAACATTTGTTTCTCGTTTTCAATGGATTACTTTTACACGAAGCATTGGATCGTATTTCATTATCTGCTCATAGACCTATCCCTCCACGTATTGATATGTTACGTGTCAAATGGAGAGCAGGCTTTGAACGTGTGAGTATCCTATGTTATACGTAATATAATATTTAGCTAATATTAGCAATCACACAAGGAATGTGGCATTTATTATACAGAAATATATATTATATGTACATTTTAAAAAATATGATTTAATTTTAGAATCGATTCACTATGGAAACCATTCGAACTGTTCCAGTTAACGGAGGGTTCTCAACTTAATAATTCATATTTCAATCCATAAGCAAAATTAAGACATTTTGTGTAGATGATACTTTACTCGATTCGTTATCAGTAGGTTGTGTAACTTAAATGTGATATGTTTATCCTTCTTAACTCAATTTTCTACCAGAGTTATATTTCTTACTATCCAATACTTGTCGAATGTTAAGCGGAAGAGTTTTACTCAGATTGTTACCCGCATATTGATAAGTGCATATACTTATTGGAATCAGTCCCAGAGTACGTGTCACCAGGACGTCAAATAAACTTACCTCTGTCAAATCAATCCAAATGTCGTCTGTTTAAATATCTATAAAGTTTGTAGAAACAAAAGACAAACTTAACATCTCTAATCACAAATATGAAGAATAAAAGTTAAAAACATTTCAATATGTCAAATACCCCCATTTAGACGTTTAAAAGACAAAAATAGTGAGGTCACTGACAGTCAATGGATGTATTTCCTGAAGCTGCATTGGGGCCCACCATCTCATGGTGAAGTGGATGCTCATCAAAGGCATTGGCACTGAATGTTCCGCGAGCTTGGCCTAGTAACCTAAACATCCCAGGTTTGACCCCTGGAGCATTTGTGGATACTCACTGCTGGAGAGTCCCGAAAATAGGACTAAACAGCTTTTCAGTACTCCTTGGCTTCCAGTCATATCTCTAAATGAAGTAAGTTCTTGACAAAAATCTCACAACTGAAAATAAACATTTACTCTTCTGTTAGATACCAATCTATGGTTCTACTCTAATCTATCTATATCACTTTTAATAAAATTCAAAAAACATTTACCAATCCAGTATTGATCAGTTTGTTGACAATAATTATTCAAAATCAGTATGTCAAGGGGGATAATAATTAACCAAGAAAATTAATGCAACAACTAAAGGGGAGAAGTAACTTCAGAAATTAAAAACTCGGTTACTCACGATTTTCCGCAAATGAGGAGTAATTAGGAAATAAATCACTGTTCAAATTAATTGCGTAATAAACAATTAAAAATGAAATAGTCAGGATAATAAAACAATTAGGATAATGATAACCTGTAAAAGGCTTCGGGGGAATAGGAAGTTGTCAGTTTTCTTACTTTCATGTAATGATAGTCAAAGTTAGGAAAGCAGCTGTACGACTTGCTTCTGAACACACAGATCTGACTTCTTCAGGTGAATTTCTACGATCTCAGCTGTAGGTAGAAGACAAACTCGTAAAACAAAATTATTATTAGTCGAGATATAATAAATAACTTTCAATGATTCGGTAACATCAACTTTATACTGGCTATCTACAAGGTGTGTTAAAACAGAGCTACGAATAGATCCTGTTTGCTCATTGATTAATGATTCATGATGGTGTTTGGAAATCCAATTACAGATATGCTTAATTGTACTCGCAACGCAACTGACCCTACAGGATTAGTCGAATATATGAACGTTTAACAATCTTGTGGAATATTTGGAAACAACACTTAGTCAGAGTTATATTAATTAAGTCAAAAATGCTTACAAATGCAAGCAGATAAGATTTTATTTTAATGTCTGATGGATTCCCGAACACAAGATTGACGTTAATCATGCTTTCAGGGTCATTTAGCGCGTACCTAAGAATCCCAATTTCGCTTTAAGAGTTCGACTTTTAAATATTGCTGAGGCTAAGCCTAATTTATGCACTCAAAAGAAGTTAGTTCAGTCATTATCATAACCTTGGCCATCCAGGTTTGAATAATCCAGAATTTTTGTGAAATTTCCCTAATTTTAGTTGATATTCTATTCGCCATTATATCTTTATTATTATTATAATTTAAGCATCTTTAATGAACCGCAATGTGCGTCGGTGGCATAGCGGTTAGGGCGCTTGCCGACCATGCACATGGTCCGGGGTTCTATCCCCGGCCGGCGCACTCCCTTTACCTCGCTAAGCCAAAACTAAAACCTGGTGGAGAGGAAAGGTTGGGCATGAGGCTAGCAACCCCATCCTGTAAAATAAACACTGCTACAGAAACTTCAAGCCTCTAGCTTGAAGCCCTATGTTCCACTGGGAACGTGAAGGAATATAAAAAATGAACTGTAATAGGATTGATCATACTTTACAAATCGATATTATTTAAAAAACGCTAATATTGTCATTAACTACTAATTTAAAATATCCTGTGTATATAAACAAATATATAATTGTAGAGCCTGGAAGAGGAATTTATCGAAAAGAATATTCTTTGCTCGATTATTTTGTGTTTTATAGATGTCTAAATGAATATTTTTGCTATACTGAATACCAAAAAACAAAAACGAATAACTGTTCATTAGTTTTTATTCATATACAAGACGAAGTTATAAAAATATTGAAATTCTAGTTTGTTTTATTTACCATAAGAGCGAGGTGATCAATAAGAAAATTTGAGTAACACACTCTCTCATAGTTTATTCCCTTTATTTAGGACAGTGATATGGAATAGTTTGAATACCCCTGGTTTAAGTGAGCACCACTCAGATACAGGTAAAAATGAAGAATTTCTAATGCAGTTTACCTCATTTAGCAGCATAAATCATGAAAATGCAATTTTATACGTTTAGCTCCGAAGGCTGAAACCTAGATATGAATGTGAAGCAGCATTTACTTTCACTGAGCAACAAGAACACTGAAGCGATTCAAGCAAATACGTCATAAATTTAACCAATTCATAATTTAATGTTAATTATATATATCATGGAAAATTCCCATTGTAACATATAGAAAATCAAAACAAATGATTCAGCGAAGAGACTCTTTTCAACGAATTTATCATCAAGCTGTACAATCGTATATATATGGTTTTTAAGAAGTTATATCCGGTGAGGGAATTGAAACATAGGTGTGAATGCATGAAATAATAATAATATGAAGTGCAATTAAAACTAAAATGTTTGTGATTATAATCGTAGTTAAAGGTCAAGTGGCAAAGCAAATTAATGTCATATATAGAATAATTCATAGGATGGATAGAACTTGAAAAAGGTGTGCAATTATAAGATTAGTAGACAAATCGAAAAAATAAAAACGTTACGTAATATTGTGTGAAATTTAATAGCATAGAATTTAATGTTGCATAAAGGAATTGATTTAGAATGACAAGTGGAACAAGTGAAATAATACCGGGGACAATTAAAAATGAGAGTAGTAATAGTAACAATTGACTTAATAAGGAGGAGTATACAAATTGAATAGACAAAAATGAAAAAATGAAAAAATGAAAAAAAAACTCTCCATTTTTTCATTTTTTCACTTTTGTCTATTCAATTTGTATACTCCTCCTTATTAAGTCAATTGTTACTATTACTACTCTCATTTTTAATTGTCCCCGGTATTATTTCACTTGTTCCACTTGTCATTCTAAATCAATTCCTTTATGCAACATTAAATTCTATGCTATTAAATTTCACACAATATTACGTAACGTTTTTATTTTTTCGATTTGTCTACTAATCTTATAATTGCACACCTTTTTCAAGTTCTATCCATCCTATGAATTATTCTATATATGACATTAATTTGCTTTGCCACTTGACCTTTAACTACGATTATAATCACAAACATTTTAGTTTTAATTGCACTTCATATTATTATTATTTCATGCATTCACACCTATGTTTCAATTCCCTCACCGGATATAACTTCTTAAAAACCATATATATACGATTGTACAGCTTGATGATAAATTCGTTGAAAAGAGTCTCTTCGCTGAATCATTTGTTTTAAATTATATATATATATATACTGTGGCGTGTGATACTGATAAAATTTATCAGTAGTATATAAAGAGACGTCCATCGACAAAAAACATCAAATAGAAGCGAGATAGATTTCACGTCAGAGAAAGCAAATCATAAGGCGTTGCGGAGATACATGGGATATGTGAAAGGAACACAAAGAAACGCAATATGAAAGCCAGAAGTAGCACAACACGGAAGATCTGTGCAAACGGTGGTTTGAAGATAAGGTGTACATAATTTGGCTATATAGAAATACCAAACTGGAAATAAACATTCCTTTACCCAGTCTCTCGTCTTATAGTATTACAATACTACTTATGTTACTGCTGGAACATAGAAACGCTACAATAAACGTAGTTTCTAGGGTAAGTTATAAAACCACTGCATTATTTTGCTATCGAAATATGAAGAGACGTGAGATTTCAAGGCTACAGATCGCATTACTTTACACTGAAAACAAAATGTTTAGGAAAAGCAAGTCCTAATGAACAAAACATTAGAAACACTGGAAGTATATCTGTCCTCCACATTTAAATTTTTTGATTTCTGTATTTTAAACATTCTAATTTATTTTCTAGTTAACCTACAATATCGATTTGAAGTCAATGAATCAAACACTTCTGCATACACCACTCTTAAATATTGCGAAATCTGGTTATATTCCAGCTACACAATCTGGTAAGAGATTCGAATTTTTAAGCCAATGAAGTTACCTATTTTCTTTTTATTATGTTTGAAGAATATTCAATTTGTAATAAGTGTCTTCACTTATTTTTATTTTCAGTTGAAACTTTAACATGTATGTATTTACGTTTTGATTTCATTTTCTGAATTCGTTAATGCTTGCATCGTGTATACAAAGTTGTAAGACGCCACTATTAATAATTCCACGGTTTCCTATTGAAACACAGAGCTGAAGCAGCACGTCTCCATTTCATCCGGTTCTCTGAAGTTTTTATAGCTGGCTCAATGATATGTGCGTCGGTGGCACAGCGATAGAATGCTTGCCGACCACGTATGTGTTCAGGGGTTCGATCCCCGGTCGACGCACTCCTTTACCTTGCTAAGCCAGTAAAAAGACTGGTAAACAGGGAAGGTTGGGCATCAGGCTAGCGACCTCATCCCGTAAAAAATAAACACCACTGCTACCGAAACTTCAAGCCCCTAGCCTAGAGTCCTATGTTCCACTGGGAACATAAAGGAATTTTTTAAAAAGTGATATCCTATATGATGTCTCATCTCTTGCTCACACAATCTCCTCCATTTCATCTTCGACCCAAGCCCAAATCGTCGTTTCCCATTCCAATACCACTCGTGGGTATGCCGGGCGCGTGGTATCACTCAACGATCTCTTCAGCGTGTGTCCAATCCATCTTCATCTCCTTTTGTATATTTTCGGGGTAACAGGTTCTTGATTACTTCGTCCCCAGAGTTCCTGTTTGCTTATACAATCTGACCCCTCATCTGAACTTCATTACGAAGCGAAGGTAACTGCTGATGAAAGTCTTCAGCTTCCTGTTCAAAATGCTTTTCAGTGCCTCTCTAAGTCTCTAAAGTATACAGAAGAACTGACTTGACGTTAGCAATAGCACCATATTGCTCATTGTGCTCGTTTCACTCAGCTAAGCGTCCAATTTTTCAAGCACTTGATTGGTACATTTCAATCACAATAGCTATAACTTTTCGTACCACCAATTTTTAGGCTACGTCTCTCTACCGTATTTTTTGACGAGCCTTCCAGGAAGATGATTATGTTTAATTAGCTTCTCTAGTTCTTCATTGAAAATGTCGTCGAAACATGTTCCTTTAGCTTTATTTATCACATAGTTCATGGAATATTTCTGGTACTATTGTTGATCAACACTACGTAAATGAATTCTTCGTCTATTCTGTATTCATTGCTTATGAATCTGAAGTATAAAAAATTTAGTTTCAGATGTACTCACAGAGTGCTATCTAAGACACCCAAGAACTAATTTCCCAACGAATGTATTTACAAACTATCTTGCAATTAAAAGTACCCTGCTCTCAACTAGGAAGGTTAAAGTTCCTAAGTAGTCGAAATTTATATATATATATATTCACTTGTTCTTTAAAAGGAATTTACTTTGATAATATCATGAAATGCCTGCAGACGCATTGACGAACACTTGCTAATCTGGTTGATAAAAGGCGAAATTAAATACTCACTAGCTGCATTCAGGTAAATTTCATGAAAACAAGTCATTCATTTGACTCTGACGTATATTCTTCCTCCTCCTTCTTAAGTCCAAGGTGCACTTCGTCATGACTTTCATCTTCGGTTTCTTTACGCCATACAATCCGTTGTAATAAGAGTCAAAGTTTTTTATGCACTCACTGTTCCTTGGTCTTGTAATAATTCTCACATATTATTACAAAGCTATTAAAAGGCTTATCGACGTAACTTTCTTTTTACTACTTTTTAGACGTTCAGATATCTTTACCATGCACTGGAAGATTTACTGGCATAGCTCCCTTCCAAGTAAGACTTGATGTTCAAAGAGAATTTGAAGGTTTACGAAAGATTCCGCCGATTTCTTTCATTGTCTATAAATATTGTCTGAGTGCAAGTAAGTTTAGATAGCATTAAAATTAGTATTCGTTAACATATTACTTCGCTTGTTTGAAATGCCCATTCTTTTTTAAAAGAATAATTACAGAACTTATCAGCTTACAGAGTTTCAACTCATTGAGTAGATTATAATAATATTCAAATAAGATTTCAAAATAAAGTTGAACTTATTCACAGAAGTGAAAAATATGGTAAGAAAAAATTCACAACAACAGACTAAGCCATCTCATACAACATTCAATATATGAACTAATACTTTTGGGTGGTCAAACCGTAGCTGCTAAGCTCTAGTCTCAGTGGTAAAACCACCACACACTGAGGATGCGGGTAAATCCAGTTGATAGACGTCTTCGATCTCACTTCTAATCACGACCAGTCAGATAATATAAACTAAGGTCACACTTAAACGGTATGACTGTTTAAATTTTAGTGTATATTGTATATATGGAAAGTGTCTGGACTGTGAAATGAACCAGTTCAATATATAATTTTGCTTGAAACATGACTAAGATTCGAAATGCATCATTGTATGTATTGCAAACTCTTTCATCGAAATCTTTTTTTAGAATTAAAATTTGGAGGGGAAAACAATGTTATTCCTCTAACAGATACCTAAATAAGTGTTCTAGGAGTTATATACTTGCAGTTAGTGTTTAAAGTCATCTTGATCGATGGTTACTAGCACTGGATTCTAGGATGCACGTTGTATCTTATTTTCGGTAAATCAGCTGAATGTACCTGCATCCCTATTGAGTGGTATTGTTCCCACTGGGACACGTACCCAGTGGGCATCGTCTTAAAGGTTACAGTACTATTACTTAAGCTGCTGACCTGCGAGAGTCATCTGTTGTGCAATGGGAATTATTTGTTAATTTTTTTTGAAATTATTATTTAAAATTCCCCTTTGATCGATTTTCGTTGGATTAAAATGTTTCCGTTGACATCAATAGAGACTGCATATTTTAATCCAGTGACAGTTTATCAAAGGGAAATTCAAGGTAATAACTTCAACATGGTGGTGACGATTTCTGAACCTCCTGTTTTTTTTTAGAAATATTCATATTTTAACCTTGAATTTCCTCAAATATCGTTCAAAGTCATTTGTAGATATCGTATGCTCATAAACAGAAAAGAAATGGAATTATCCATCACTTGCAGTGATTAGAATTTGAACTTAGTTCAATTTTTCTTACACATCATCGTAACTCTCATTTTGGCTAACCCGAATAGAGTAGCTATAAGACTTAGTCTCGGTAAAACATATGCTGTTATGATTACAATGCAATAAAAGTAATACTCCCTTTTATTGGCAGCTACATAATACTCATGAATATTATTTTGTTTCGAATGCTTTCGGAAATCTGTATGCTAGAAAGGCAATTTGTTTCAAAAGTCTAAGGATCCGGACTATTGATATGATCTGGTTGTTTGTTTACACCTGTTCTCAAGCCACATTTACAAATTTGAAGTGACTTATATTTTTTTTTAATTTCCGAAATTGTAAACAATTACTTATTTAGATAGTGAGTAATGTTAATCTGATTAAATAAAGTATAATTATATTTCAATAGTTTACACACAATGATAAGTTTTGTTATTGGTAATATTTCGAGCAAAAATACTGCCCGTGTTCACACCACTGATGGAATTGTTTTATTCGTAATTTTGCTCGAAATATTACCAATAACAAAACTTATCATTGTGTGTAAACTATTGAAATATAATTATACTTTATTTGATCTAATCCACAATGCTCAAACTTTTTACCGATATTAATTAATCTGATTAGTTGTAAATGTTGAGTGAAATATATCAGTGGTCAGTTACGAAGTATGACTTGAAAATATTATTATTATTGTATCCTTTAATTCCTAGAGGAACATAGGGCTTCAGCCGTGCGTCTCCATTGCGTTCGGTTCTCTGCTACAGTCTTCACCTGGCTCCATGTCTGCCCACACGTTTTCATCTCCTCTTCACATGACCTCATCCAAGTCACCCTCACCCTTGGACGACCAACTCGCCGCTTCCCTTTCGGGTTCCACTAGAGCGATGGCTTTTCTAGTGATGTCACTTGGTGGTTTCCTCAGAGTATGGCCAATCCATCTCCATTTCTTCGTGCCTATTTGTTTCACAATCGGTTCCTGCTGTGTTGGTTCGCTCCCAAAGATCCCTGTTGCTGATATTTTCTGGCCATCTGATCTTGAGTATTGAGCGAAGACAAACTTGAAAATATACTATTAAGAAATTGGACATAGCGTTTATGACTTTTAGTCTGAACACAATGAATGTTTGAATTCTCTGAGTATCAGCAACATTCAGTCAACTTGGATCATGATGTGGTGAGAGCTGTCTGCAAGCTAAATTTGTAGACAACAATTTAAGCCAATGTTCACTTCCTGAATCAAGGTCATGAGAAAAACAATAACAAAGCCTAACCTTGAGAAAATCACCAGCCAATCATAGAGGAGTTAAAGTGTGGAAATATGATTCACAGATATATCACTTGATTTTCTGAGAAACGGACACAAAGATTTAACAGAATAACCTCTAGCAAGAAAACAACCAATCAGAAGAGGTTGCTTTTCTGCTAACAATACCGCTAACAATAATGCACATAAAAATCTATAAAAACCCCTCGATTTTCTCAATAAAAGATCTGTTGCCTGGCCCTTATCTTCTGTCGTTACGATGTTAATTTGGTTTATGGTGGTTAGCGGTGAAATGCAAGATAATCATTTCGTCCTATTTGGTACTAGTTAATCGGGTGCACCAGCATTCCTAGTGAATGACGGGGTTTCCGCTGACACTGTCATAAGGTTTGATGAACAAGAAAGTGCTGATAATTCATAGGAAGTTTTGAGACAAATAATGGCACCAAATCAGCTATTGTATAGTGGATGCACTTGAAACAAGCACATATGATATGTGTATTGGTGATTACAATTAGAGGAGAAATCTCGGATCGCAGAAACATAAGCCCCAGTTTCTACGACTTAATTCGACTGAAGAATGATTCCATTTGCTACCAGTTATGATTATTACTACCAATAAAGTCACAAAAAAAGAAATAATGAAACTATACGAACGAAGTCTGAAAGTTATATGAGCGATTTGAAATGATTAAAAGCAATAAATTGTGTTGAAAATATCATCATTAAATGATACTGTATCACTGTCTGGTTTCATTGGATAAAATTATTCTATGATGGCAATGTGCTCTATTACAATGGCCAAATTCTATTCTTATATACATGACCCATTTCTGTGTCGACTCATTTGAATCCTGTTGCAACAAAGATGGCTTTTCAGTCCCAGGTATCAGCCAACGTAATATTGTTACCAGTCTATCAAGCTTAGCATATCTTAGAAAGTTTTAGTACTAGTTAGGTTAATTATTTCTTCTACATTACTTGTTGGAGAGTATTGTTATTTATCAGCTTCAAACTAATACGATGCGATACGTTATGCAAAGAATAATCATAATTAGTCACTGCATGAAGTGACAGTATGAGCTGAAGTGACATTCTTTATCTAGACTAATATGAAATTATTCCAGGTATTCAAAGCAAATTTCCGTGCATATCAAAGAGTCAGATGTAACGTAGAGGTTCAGAAGACTACTCAGGGTGACAAGTACATAATCACTACAACAATAATATAAAAAGATGTCCGTTTCAAAATACATTTCTGAAGAAATACTGGAGGACATAAAGATCACGTTAATGTTTCTAAAATCTTTTTGCACCTTGTTCAATAGCAAGATATCTCACTTTGTACATCAACACTCATCACGGAATTAAAACTAGTGCGTCACGCAATCTTCAAAAGAATATGAAGAACTGATAAAACGATGTTACAGTGTGTTGTGTTGCTCTGTTTGACCAAAGTGGCGTACACGTATACCCTAGTACTTCTTCGCGTTTATTATTGTGTCCTAACGTTGTGATTACTTGACATCCACAGCGTAAATCAACAGGCACTTGAGAAGGAGTACGAACGTGTATTGTTGCAGTAGTCAAAATTCAGAAGGTGTGCAATCTTTAGAGTGACAAACAAATCTAATTCCAATTACATAGTGAAAGTATAATACGATAATGAATAATAAAATGGGTCACTATAGTAGTGAATAAATATTTCTATGCATTTACTATTATTTTTCCTCATAAAGCTTTTAGAGAATGTGTATAATTTTAAACGATGCATACAACAAGCGTCGAACTACAAGTTCATGTATGAAGTTTAACACTAATTCGGCATTTAATCTAAATTACCATCCTGTATGAGGTTATGAGTTTTCCTTTCGAAACAGTCACTAAAACTGAACGTGAAATACTTCTTGACGTTCGTTTTAGCTTTCATTTGAGATGAAAACTATTTTTTTAAAATTTTCTATTTGATTTTTATTGATTAAAAATGCCCATTAAAATTTTCAGTGTCTATTTGATTTTTGTTGTTTTAATCAGCTAATAAAATAAAATACTGAGTTTTTACTTATGATCAACTACAATCATGTAGCAGTTAAAAAATATGTACACATTTGACTATCTCTTATTCACTTTGTTGTATTAATTAGGTCAACATGCACGATTTATTATCAAATGTGAATGCCGTATTCAGTGTTTACAATCGAATATTAACAATCGTCAATCACTACGAAAACGTTGTATTCGACGCTGTCGGAGACGTTATGGTCTAAATAACATACAGGATAAACAGAGAAAATGAATAAATTATTTTCTGTTCAAAAAGATGAAACCAATTTAACTCTACTTTTTGTGAAGAAATAATAGCAATAAAACTATCAATAACCACGATAAGAACAAATTCTTTAACATTATACCTCTATTCTGTATACTGTTAGTTCAGAACCTTATAATTAATAATAAACCTGAGTTTTATTGACTATTCTACATTTTAATTCATCCAGACATTAATGAAAAGAAGAAAAAACAAGTAGTTCAGAGAAGGGGCTCTTTTCTTAGAATTCATTTTCTTTAGCTGTACAGTTTTACTTATATACAGTTCTTTTATGGCAAGCCTCCGAAACGGTCCATTGCAGTCAGTTGCGAATACGTTTCAGCTATATACAAGATATGTGGATGACATTTAGATCATTTTTTTAATAATTGTGACCTCAGTCATTTATTGCAGGTATTTAACAATTGCCATCCAGTAGTAACATCTACCTTTGAAACGAATATAAAATTTCACTTTTTGATGTCGAATACAAGAAGAACCGACAGAAACTTGAGAAGTTCTGTCCATGAGAGACACATTCAGAACGGTCAACTGACAAATTTCTACATTTAGAGGGTTCTTGAATGAAAATTAAATGTAATTTCTTGCCATTCACATCCGACGAATCTAAAGCTCGAACACTCTAGAAGAAGAATTAGACCTTTTGAAAGAAATTTCCACTCAAAATGGATACGCGCCGAGATTCACTGACAAGAACATCAAATCAAAATTTCAGAAAAAAAAACATTACTTGTGACTAAAAAGAAGCTTTACATGAACCGTGATTTCAAGGAAAACTTTGCCTGCAATATCTTTAAGGGAGGAACTTCAACATATTCGAGAAGATTCTTCACAGAAACGGTAAGATTAGAGTTCTCCAGTAGTCTACAGGTCTAAAGAAGGCTAAAAGACATGTCGCATCTGACCATTTCTATGTGAATATCTTAGTTCCCTTATTCCTGTGGAATCAGATATACTGGAAGTTCGAAGCATATCCTATCTAAAAGGGCTCAAGAACGCCATGTCTGCTCTGCTTATAAAAGTAAATTATTCAAGCACTTCTACTAACATTATAAAAGCCTTATTGTTTTCTACCAACTTGATGTTGTTCGCTTTTAACTGTTTCTAATTCTTGTATTTCTTTCCAACTCTTACATGATATCACAGTTTCCTTCGTTTCCATATGCATCCTGATTAAAACTTATTCACTAAATGATTCACCTTATTACGTAACTCTGCTGCTTTTATTCACTGATTAATATTGAAAAATATGACTATAAAAACTCATCACTTCTTTTTACTACCCTTTTTCGGGAAAACAATTTTCTATAAATGCGATTGTACAGCTAAAGAAAATAAATTTACCGAAAGCAGCCTCTCCGTTAAACTACTTGTCACGTTCTACATTTTCTTATTTTTCCATCCCGTATAAAATTGTAGTGTGAACTACACATGGCTGTCAGATTTATACCACACTACTCATTCAAACAAAACGATGCGTGTGAATCAATTACAATAACACAAAAAGATACTTTGAAACAGGGTCCTGAAAGTTAATACTCTGAAGGTGGAACTAATAGGTAGTGCGTTCGAGTCCCATTGGCACACAACCGTAAGTATATTCAGATAATGAATCCTTTCAATACTGTCTCCAAGTGGTACTAAATGTATGTTATGTAATTCTAGGAAATGAAATGAACAGTGAGATAGGGACTTATAGTAACATAGTACATTTTTGTGTCAAATACAAAGGCTTTCACACATTTACAAACTTATACACTATTTAGGAAGATTAGACACAGGAGTAACATAGTGTGACCACACTATTCAATATTTTCTCCTAAAAGAGATTTTTGTGGACCACATAGTTTTTTAGTCCAAGTTGGTGGTGCCGTAAAGGAATAAATTATAACAAGAAATCCATCTTTTTTATACGGTTAAGACTATTTAGGTTTCAAAAGACGTTAACTACTGACGGAAATACTTTTCTGTAACTGCCTATTAGAATCGTGCTAATAAGAACAATGCTAAGACTCACATTTTCTTTTTCAACTTTAGACGCCATCTCGTTATTCCACATTGGTTTGTTTATTAGATATGTAACGACAGAAGGTAAGAGTCAGGCAACAGATCGTTTATTACGGAAAATCAACACATATTTATAGATTTTAATGTACATTATTGTTAGTAGAAAATACAGTCTTTTGATTGGTTGTTTGTCACAGAAAGTTAACCTTGCATTTCTTTGTGGCTGTGTCAGATCATCCATATGCTAACTGTATCCGCCTACGCAAAGCCTTTGTTCTCATTTTGACCTTGTTTTCACATGACTAATATTTGAGACATAAACATTGACGTCAATTACTGTCTACCGATCAGGCTAGCAACCATCTCTCACCACAGATATATCACACAGTGAAACATTATTATTTACTGGATGACGTTTCGAACAAAATTTATTGTTCATAATCATATCAATTATAAACACACGACTTCGAAACTTGAGTTTTATAGTTTTCTTCGTCCTCTCCGATTTTTCGTAAGGGTAGTAGAATTTTCCAGGTATCTGGGACAGGTGTTAAATCATTCCTATTACACGTATTCTCTTCAGTTGATTCGATAAACAAAGCTCCTGTTACCAATCTCTCCCTCCACCCTTTGACATTAGATTTTAAAACTGTCATTTTATTCCATCCCATTGTATGGTTGTGTGTGATTGCATGTAGTGCTATAGCTGAACTATTCCTTAGGTTTCTTATCCCATTAGGGTCAACTAATCTAGGTTTAGCTAAGTTTTTATACTCGGCTAGTCTGACTGCACCTGTTCTACTACTTTGACCTATGTATTTGACCTGACAATCATTGCAGAGTATTAGATAAACTAAATTGTTTTGTTTTAAAGGCTCCACAGGATCCTTTAACCGGCAAAGCTTGTTTCTAATTGAGTTTGTGGGTTTGAATGCCAGCCACTCTTATTCCTGCCTTGTTAAGAATTCTGCGTAAGGCTTCCGAGGTTCCTTCCTTGTATGAAATTACTACTGATGATTTAGATTCCTTATTGTTGGTGTTGTCATTATTCTGTGCATGTTTGATATGTATGTCCTCATTAATATCATGATTATTATCACAATCACTACTATCATTATTTATTATTTTTACATTTCCCTACATACTTTCTGACTAATTTATCAGGGTAGTTATTAAGTTTCAAAGCTTCTCTTATATGTCTCACTTCCTGTCTTAGATCTTCCTTAGTACTACTTAGCTTTTGTGCTCTGTTTAACTTAAACATTTCACCAATACTATTTTTACTGACATTGGGTGGGATGATCGGAAATCTAAATATCTGTTTGAATGTATGGGTCTTCTGTAAACACTAGTGTTTAACTTACCATCTTCTTTCCTTTTTATGCTACAATCTAACATTGGAAGTTCCACTTCCTGACTTTCCAATTCATAAGTGAATTGCCTCCACTTTTGAGTTAATGTGTTCGAAGAATCTATCTATATCCTGTGTTCTAAGTACAGTGAATGTGTCATCTACATACCTCCACCATACTTTTCGGGTGGGGCTGAACGTTTCAATCGCTATATTCTCCCATCTATTCATGAAAACATCTGCCACAACAGGGGATATTGGTGATCCCATGGTAACACATTAAAACACAGGAGAGGTCAGATTTTAGATCCTTTAATCATACGAAAACTAAGCGTGAACCAAAAAAACAACCTCAAGCTAGGTTTCATAACCAGATGATGGTGCATTCATCAAATTTTCACTCATCTACAGATTCTGAGGCACATACTTGCAAGGTTTTTCCGCCTGAAGGATGCATCCTACTCCAGTCACCAGGAGCTATTGTAAGGATATTATACTGTAAAAAGGTGAGCCGGAGAAGTATTTTAAATCAGTCGAGGTTTTCTAATAGAACTCGTTTAGACGTGTAAGAAGTTATGGAGAACTGGCGTTTGAAGAGACGAATAGGAGTAAAATCAATTAGACGCCAAATTTCATTAATAGTAATTAATTTCACTGAAACCGTAATTATCAAGACTCCAGACATTGATTTTCTACAAAGAAAGATTCTCATTATTTAGAGAGCACAAATGAAGACTCAGATCAACACCTTGAGTGCACTTTGTCCCCGCCAAACGTCATATTGCTGCATGACCGATCCACATTCTTTTACATATGAAAATATAAAATAATATAATATGCTAAACACTTCATTTATTCAGAAAGTTACATCAGTTCCTGTGAACACTTCCCTAATGAAATCGATAAGCAATTATCAAAACATCATCTGCTTTAATTCAGCTTATGTAACTTTTTGGGTAGAAATACCTAGCAACCCACAACAGGGCATGAGCACAGCACATTAGTGAAACGTAATCACTGAGAGTATGTGTGATAAGAACAAATTACTCGTGTTAGATAAAGCAACATAATAAATGATAAAGTATGCAATACTGTTGAATAAGGAGATCAAAACAGTCTATGAAATTACTACACAGCATTGATTCGGGTGTTTGCGACGCGTATTACAAATCTTGATTTAATTATTCTTCCTGTCGCAGCCATATTTGTCTTCCGTCGGCTGCGTGCTTATAAGCAGGGTTGCAACGTGATACACTGGTGCACTTGTGAACTAAGTTTCGCATTGGTCCATTAGTCAAACAAGTTGGCGGTGGTTACCTGCAACTGATATTATAATCAAACAATCGTTAGTTCAAACCTAAGAACTTATCCATCGAACTACATTTCGCGAAATTTTATGAATGTGGGGAACGGAGTCTGCATTTGGGTTGAGTGAAAGTCTGAGTAATAGACAATGACTGTGTAAGTTCATACATTTAGTTACCTTGATAAATTTCGAAGGTACGATCGAAAAGTCCATCCATAGAAAAGAGACCTGGACTGGGCAATATCTTCACTATAACAGCTTTTGTCTCATAAGCTATAAACGTGGATTAGTGATGACTTTGTA